CCTCACAAGGCATTCCCAGCCCTTCCAAAGCAAAACACAAGTGTTCGGTGTGAAACCAGACACTAAACGGTCGAGTTCGGAGATCCTAAGGCAGGGCGTGCGAGCCGAGACTTCCGGGAACTCCAAACGAACACAAACATGGATAATCACTGAGTGTTCCAAGCGGTGACGTCCAAGTCTTGAGGACGGTCAAAAATGGGGTGTCTACAACGTCGCTTTCACACACTCACACAGCATTTGTAATTCTTCATGTTCTTGGATTTTGTCTGCCTTTGATGCTTCTTGACTCTGAATCATTTTCTTTTCTTGTTTCTTTTGATTGTTTTCAGATCTTTGGTCTTTGATTCTTGTCTCTATAGTTCTAGGTTTGGGAATTGCTAGAAATCACATACTTAGGAGAAACGGAAACAAACCCCCCCTTCAATTTTCAAAACCCTTGTCCCTAATACCTGTTTAGGGTTTAGCCGAGGTTTCCTCAGCCTTTCTTTTGAAATCTTCCACCAGACACCTTAAGTCGATATCATGTGTAAGTTTAGGTGGAGAGTAGACACCCCTGCCAAGCTAGAGCACTTCAGGCAAGAGTTTTCTATCCTAGTCGATGTCCACCTGAGATTGGCTTGGAAGAATGACTCAATTATGCCTGGCCAGCATTACATGCCATTCCCAGTCGTTTTCATTGTTAAAGGAGGAGTTAGGTTTCCCCTAGAAATCTTCTTTAGGGAAGTCCTCCACTACTATAAACTCAATCCCATGCAGCTGGCTGTTAATTCTTTTAGGATCATCAATGGCATTGTTGAACTGGCACGTCGGCAAAATACCAGAATCACCCCCAGTTACATCCAGTATTGCTACACCATGTGTAGTTTAAAAACTCCCAAGGGCTACACCTACTACCTCAAGCCGAGATCTACACAATACAAGCTGATAGCCGATATTCCAGATTCTAATAAGTGTACAGCAGACGACTACTTAATTGTCTCGAGCAATTGTGAGTTCACACCAAATGACGAACTCCACATCTTCCCCATACATCGCGAAGTTTTTAGGGATGACAAGTGTAAAGACCTAGTCCCCTCCCAAAGTCCCTTTCACTATTGCCTTACTTATTTATCTTTTTGTTTCTAGTGTCCTCTTTGTGTTTTTGTAGCCCTTCATCAGCCCGAAAAGGACTTTCGTCAATACTACGTGCCAAGCAAGGATCTGGTGCGTCTTCTTGGCTTGGCAATTGAAGTGCGTAAGGCTCCAGTCCTTCTCAACTTCATCCCCACGTATAAGAGTCGTTTGCCCGACGTCCCCAAAAAGAGCAAAACTCTATCTTCTTCATCAACTCCTTCAACAGCCTCATCCCCAAGGCCAGATCAGGCCTCCACTTCTGACCCAGTTAATTAGCCATCCACTTTTGCCCCTCAGTTAATTCCTCCAGCTCAGCACCAACGCCGATGCTGAGCTCCACTAAACGTACCAGCAGGCAGAACTCATAGCCGTAAATGCCAAAACTCTGAGGCGTCAGCTTACGATCCAGCAAACCCACCTACTGCACTTCCAGCAATCCGCTTCGATGCCAAAGTTACCGTTGCTGCTACCGCCGAACAAATGGGCCGTGCAAAAATCATCCCAGACGACCATCTTGCCGACATCCTAGGCGTGGTGTCAGTCCACTCCTCCTTTCCTTCTCAATCTCAGCAAAAACCAAAGGCAAAAAGAGTTAAAAGGGCTAAAGCCAAACCTAGCGCCACCAAGGTGGAATCAGAGGACATAGTGCCAATTTCAAAAATTGGCTATAACAGAGAAGTCTGCGTCTTCCAGGAAGAGGCTTGCCAAGGCCGAGGCATCTGACCCACCGCAATCCAAAAAGCTGAGGTCCGACGGGTCTTTTGATCCCTTTGGTTTCCGCGTCGACGCTCCCTGGACTCCATCTGTCACTGTCGGACACCGACCTCTTCTAGCCAGGGACAACGCGCTCGACAGTCTGGAAGTCGATGCCGCCATTTCGACCGCCGTTCTACTTCCAGCCGACATCAATTAGATGGCTGAGCTTTTCGAGTATGAAAACTACGTGATGATGATGCAACATTGTGTCTTGGTAAGTGCCAACACTTGTAACTTTTAGTTTAATTTCAACTCTGGTTTTCATACTTAACAAATTTTCTTCGCATTCTTGCAGGCTATCCAACAGGGTCATTCCTTTACAGTCAAGACTGATGAGTTCAAGAAAGAACTGACCCAAAAAACAAAGGGGGCAGCCAAACTCCTGACTTCACTAAACAAAGCCGAGGCTCGTATCCGAGGTCTTCTAGATCAGGCCAAGGCTACTAAGTCGGCCCTAAAGAAAGCCGAAGACTGCACCAAGGCTGCAGAAAATGTTGTCGAGATTGCTCAGTCCGAGGCAAAAGAAACCAAAGAAAAAGAGGCCCAAGCCCAAATAGAACTGCAGACGGCGCTTACCACCAAGGTGACCGAGATCAAGGAGACAGATGAGAAGGCCTATGCTGAAGGGGCAGCCGACGTCCGTGACGAATATAAAAAGCAAGTCAAACAGGCATGCAACAAGGGTTACACCTTTAGTTGGATGGCTGTTTTGAAAAATTTGGTTGTCCCTAACGACCCGTCCCTCTGGGACGAAAGCCGACTTGTCATGCCATTTCCTCCCGCTCCAAGCCAATCTAAGGATGAGGCTAAGGGAGATGAAGAGGCCGAGGTCGAAACCGGTGCCGAAGGTTCTGCTGGGACCAAATCCCCAACTCTGAATGAGTAAATCCTAGATTTGACTCAAGATGAAGAGGATAAGGTTCAGAAGACCACTTCCGACACCGAGGTCTAGACTGCCAATAAGAGCCTAGATGATACTCTGCGTGAGATCGACGCCAAGGTTCAAGCTGAAAGGTCTGCCCAACTGCCTACCGAGGTTGACACAACACCAATTTTCGAGGCAAGGTAGACTATGAAAAATGTTGGAGATGCATAAACTTAGGATTTTTTGTACCTTTTCTTCTTACTTTTGAACAATTTCTGCTTTATTTAGGCCGAAGTGCCACCCCTATAACTGAACAAGTAATCTCTTAATCTTGGCCGAAGTGCCCTTTTGCATTACCTTTGAACAAGTTTCTTCTTTGAATGCATGCTTTCCTTTGGCTAAGTGTTGAATGTTTTTTTCATACATGTCTACTGCTTTCCTTCATGCCTTTTATACTTAGAATATTTTTGCATTCTTCAAAGTATACCTTAATTGTATAATAACTCCGGGATATATTATCTTGGATATAAACCTGGACTGTTTTCCTCGACTAACCACTGACATACCTCGGCTAACACTTTAAAAATATCAAAATATTTTTACAAGCGTTATTCAGTATTGCTTTTTTACCTCCATATGCTATCTTCTATTCAGACTTCACCCTTTCCAAGTTTGGACAACCTGGTTGGTCACCTCGGGTAATATATATCTCAGATACTTTATTCATAATTACCTCGGCTAACTCTAACTTGTAAATTTCTCCGAATTTTCAACAAGTGTTAAGCCCATTTTAACTTGTAAATTTTTTTGAAATTTTCAACAAGTCCCAAGCTCTTAAGTTTATTTATCATTCCTACTCCCTGCCCCCTAATGTGAACCTAAGTTCCACTTAAGTTCACATTAAGCATGTGTCTATGGTCTTTCACCGAAGTCAGATTCAAGCAAAGACTTCCCGAGGTGTTTCAACCGTGGTTTCTCTATTAATGAACTTAGTTCCATTCTAAGTTTGACTCTGCCGATATGGCAAGTCCAAGTTAATTCAACTTAGTTCAACACCATTATATGCAAGTATAATTCAACTCCGCCATATAATGAGTCTAAGTTATTCGTCATGTTTCATTCAGAAACATTGCCAACTTAGTTCAACTTATTATATGCAAGTATAATTCATCTCTACCATATAATAAGTCTTAAGTTATTCGTCATGTTTCATTCAAAAACATCGCCAACTTAGTTCAACTCTATTATATGCAAGTATAATTCATCTTTGCCATATAATAAGTCCAAGTTATTCGTCATGTTTCATTTAGAAATATCGCCAACTTAGTTCAACTCTATTATATGCAAGTATAATTCAACTCTGTCATATAATAAGTCTAAGTTATTTGTCATGTTTCATTTAGAAACATGACGTAAACTTCAAATTCATAAAAATCAAACTAAAATTTTATTATTACTTCGGCTAATGACATAAACTTTGAAAACCAAAAATCTAATGATAGAAAAACTTCAAGTTACAAGTGTTCTAGGGTCTTGGCAACTCTTTTCCATCACTGTCCTCAAGCCGATATGCCCCATTGCCAGCGACCGAGATGATTCTATAAGGCCCCTCCCAATTTGGGCCAAGCTTGCCCTCCCTAGGATTCTTTTTGTTGCTGATTACTTTCCTCAGCACAAGGTCCCCCACTTTAAGTCTCTTGGGTTGACCTTTTTATTGTAAGCCCTAGCAAGTTGTTGCTGGTATGCCCCTAGCCGAATTGTTGCTCTCTCTCTTTTCTCCTCCAGTAGGTCTAAATCTCGGGCTAAAAATGCTTCATTAGTACCATTTTCCACTCCTTGGGTTCTGATCCCTGGAATGCTAACTTCTAGTGGGATAACTGCTTCAGTGCCATAAGCCATGGCAAATGGAGACTCCCCAGTTGATCTTCTCGGCGTAGTCCTATATGCCCAGAGTATATTGGGCAACTCATCCACCCACTTCCTTTTTGCTGCTTCCAGCCTTTTCTTGATCCCATCCAAGATAGTTTTATTGGATGCCTCTGTCTATCCATTGCTTTGAGGGAAACTTGGAGTAGAGTAGTAGTTCTTAATTTTTTACTTTGCACAGAAGTTTTTGATTAGCTTACTGTCAAACTATGTACCATTGCCTGCTATTATTGCCCTTGGGATCCCAAACCTGGTGATGATGTTCTTCCATATGAAGTTCTTCACATCAAAATCTCGAATCTTCGCAAGGGCTTCAACTTCTACCCACTTTGTAAAGTAATCAGTTGTTACCAGCAGAAACTTCCTTTGCCCAGTTACTTGGGACAGTTGTCCAACTAGATCCATGCCCCACTGGGCAAACGGCCAAGAGCTGGTTACTGGGTTCAAATCTGCTGCTAATTGATGTATCAAAGGTGCAAACCTTTAACACTTCTCGCACTTTCTAACGTAGGCTTCAGCATCCTTCTGCATGTCGGGCCACCAGTACCCCTGAGTAATGGCCCTATGAGTAAGTGATCTGCCCCCAGCATGGCTTCCACATACCCTTTCATGTATTTCATACAAGAAGTATTCAACCTGAGAGGGATGCACACACCTCAAAAGGGGACCAATAAGAGACCTTCTGTAGAGATGTCCTTCTGCTATTAGGCTAAACCTTTTCGACTTCAATCTAGTCTTATACGCCTCTTTGCGATCATCTGGGAGCTGGCTGTCCCTAAGAAACATCACTATTGCATCCACCAACTTGGACCCATCTCCACACACATTGCTTCATACTCTGTGATTAGTGGTTCCACACTCGGTCCTGACAAATAGTCAACCATTATTGTCCTTGTCTCTCCTGATTTCATTGCACTAGCCAGGTTAACCAAGGCATCGACATGACTGCTATCATCTCGACTAACCTATTATAGTCGGCAATCCTGAAACAAGGCTAGCAGCCTAATAGGCTATCATTCTTTTATCTCGGGCTGGATACTCGTCTGTTGCCTGGTTCACAATAAGTTGGGAGTCGCAAAAGACTACCACTTTGTCGGCTTCCATTGTTGCTGCTAACTTCAACCCTGCGATTAGTGTCTCATATTATGCCTCATTGTTTGAGGCCTTGAGCCCCTAATGAATAGACTGTTCTAATATTCACCCATATGGCAATACTAACACTACTCCTGCCCTCGCTCCTTGCCGGTTTGAACTTCCATCAACAAACAGGTGGAAGAAGTCACCAATGTAAACGTTACAAGGCTTTGGTTTTTCTTCTTTCTTCTGTTTTGCTTGAGCCGGGTTCTTGGGCCCCAGTTGGGTTTTTTCTTGCTTCGCTGGGCATCCCAAACCTCGGCTCACAGGAGTCCAACGCGGAATGGCACTAGGGGTGAACTCGGCCAGAACTTTACCTTTAATTATTGCTTTGGGCCTAAACTCTAAGTCATATTGGCCTAACACTACTGCCCATTTGGCTACCCGGGCTGTTAGATCTCCCTGCTGCAACAGGGACTTCAAAGGATGCTCTGTCAGTACCATAATCTTGTGGGCTTGGAAGTAGTGATTCAGTTTCTTCGAAGCCATTACCAGGGCTAATGTTAATTTTTCCAGGGGTAAGTACATGGTCTCTGTACTTGCTAAGGTTTTATTCACATAGTACACTGCCATTTGTTCTCCCTTCTCTTCTCTGATTATCACTGCACTCACTGCGTGCTCTGAAACGACCAAGTATAAGAATAGTTCCTCTCCAAGTACTGGATTTGACAGAACTGGAGCTGTTATCAGGTACTTTTTCAAGTCGGCCAAGATGACTTCGCATTCCTCTGTCTACAAGAAATCTGTGGCCTTTTTCAACAAACTGAAAAATGGTTTACACTTATCCGAACTTCTACTTATGAATCTATTCAGGACTGCGGCCCTTCCAGTCAACATCTGCACTTGTTTTGCCAACGTATGTCGGGCTTTTCAAGTTCCCAGGATAGCCTTGATTTGATCTGGGCTTGCCTCAATGCCCCTTTTGGTAACCAGTATCCTAGGAACTTACTAGACCCAACTTCAAATGCGCATTTCGAAGCATTGAGTCGAAGCCGATATGTTCTAAAGATATCAAAACTGCCTTTAAGTCGGCTAGGTGATTCTCAGGTTCTTTGGTCTTCACGACATGTCATCAATGTATACTTACACTGTTTTGCCAATTAGATGTCTGAACATCTGGTCACCAACCTCTGGTAGGTTGCTCCTGCATTTTTCAACCCGAAAGGCATCACCCTATAGCAATACAGTTCTTTCGGGTTGATAAATGCAATCTTGTCCTCATTAGGGGGATACATTACTATTTGTGGTATCCCCTGTAAGCATCTAGGAAGCTCATCCTTCCATGCCCTGAAGTGGCATATACTAATTGATCAATCTTGGTAGTGGAAACTGTCTTGGGACAAGTCTTATTCAGGTTGGTGAAGTCCACGTAGACCCTCCACTTCTCATTCTTCTTTTCAAACAACTGTGTTTGACAACCAAATGGGTAGTTTACCTCTCGAATGGCTCTGACTCCAACAATTTGTTCACTTCCTCTTCTACTGCCTCCACATGAACCAACGTCGGCCTCCTTGCTCGTTGAATGACAGGTTTAGCTGACATGTCTACATTTAGTCTATGGCAAGTGACCTCGGGATCAATGCCAGGCATTCTCGTATGGTGTCCAGGTAAACACCTCTATGTTTACTCGCAAGAATGACTCTAACT